CAATTTTTGACTTTTTTCTTTTTTCATCTCTTTTTTATTTTTATGTCTCCTTTTAGTATTTTAATTTTTTCCTTTTTTCTATTTATTTTGTTTTGCTTTTTTTCTGCCTTTATTATTTTTTGGCCTTTCTCCTTTTTGCTCTATTCTGAATTTTTTTTATTTCTTTGCTTTACTTATTTTGCCTTTTTCTGCTATTTTTTTCATATTTTTTTATTAGAATTAAGTTTTTGATAACTTATTTCCTTTTTTGCTTTGATTTCCTCCTTTTTTTAGTTGTTTACTGAATCTTTTTTATTTTCTCTTATTTTCTTTTTTTACTTTTTTAAGAATTTTTTTTACATCTAGCAAGGTTTATTTGTCTCTTCGTTTAGAAATTAAACTCCCAAATGCAATAGGTTTTTCTGGGTTTATGGTTTTTCTAGAGATTAAAATTATATTTTACAACAATGTTTAAACATAGTTTTGGTTTTTTTGAATATTTTTTGCCACCTGTACACTTTTGTACGAATTCGGCCTTGTATAGTGGACTTTAATTTGAATAAATTTTGAAAATACGGACAGTAAACTTTTGCGTTAAAGCGCGTTGGAAAGTTAAACTTAAGGTGAAGTGTTTGCTAGCAGAATAACTCCGAATAATAACTGTTTTTTTAGGCAGCTAAATGATGACAGTTTATCATCTGGATTGTATTGAGGAAAGACGTAGTTGTGCTCCAAGACGGTCATGTGGGAAGCTTTCCTGCTAATATTTTTTTAGAAATATTTGGGTTGGCTTTTATAAATGGAAAAAGATGTAAGATTTCATCTACGCAAGCACTAGCCATGAAAGGAAAAGCTGTTTTTGCAATGGAGTGGGTAATCCCTCCAATAAGGTGTCTAGCACATTCGGATAGTTAATGAATTTCTATGTTTGCAAAATCTATGACTATATTAAGTTTTCGATGATTGTTCGCCAAACAAATTAACTGACTGTTGCTGGCGCTGATTAAAATTTGAATGTCAAAATAAGAAAAAACCAAATTTGTAAGTGATGAAAACAAAGTGTTTGGCAAAATAGAAATAATGTTGTTGTGGAGGCATAATAGTTTCACAAAGTCTATTTTGACTAGGAAGATGGTTGATTCCCTCTACAAAAAAAATCAACTTTAGAAAAATCTCTTTATGATTTTGTGATCTTAGCTTTGATTAAATAATGTTGGATAACCGTCAAATGTGTCTTAAGTTCAACTGAGAAGATTTTATCATTGATAAGTCTAAGCGATTTCTACAATAAAATGCCGAACTGAATTAGCGTGAAAAAACTTAAGTAAATGTTTTGACGCAAAAATAACGAAATTGAGGGAATATACAAAAATTATACATACGTTTGACATTGTAATCTACTTTGCTAACTTCTTCCATCTTCACATATTCTTCATCGCCATTTTGTTTCCGTCGCATTTTCTTATGAAATCGTTTGGTTTTTTCACTGAGATGGAGATGAGGATGATACCAGCTGGCCTCCACAGAGTCTGCACTTTCCTCACTCCAAGAGAAGCCTTGAATTGCCGCAGCCTCACTAGGTACCTCCATATCCTCCTTCTCTTCCGCCGCCTCCTCCTCGTTTCTCCTCAGTTTCGCATGATCTTTATCTCGGAGGGTTTGGCTGACTGGTGTTGCCTCCATAGCAGCACCACCTGTCGCTGCTGCAGTCGATTTTACGAGAATGACGCCTGCGGGTGCTGGCACGCTTGTGCCTAAGTCGACTGTGTGCTCAGCATGCAATTGGTCGCTAGCACCAAGTGCGCGTAGTGGCACTGTTTCAACACTGCTTTTCACGGGGTGATGAGGAGCGTGGAAGAGGAGCATGCGTTTGGTGCTTTTTCGCTTGGTTTTAAGGAACTTGTTCTCCGTTTGTGTCTGTTGGTCAAGTCGGGTTGAGGGTGAGAACGGAACTGTGGTCAAGGGTAGGGAAGGGGTTGAAATTGTAGCTCGGCTCATGACTAGGGGAGTTGCAGACTGAGTGGGCAGTAGAACAGATGCATCTAGAGGATAGTAGAAATCATCTGTACTGATTGACGCGTCCGTAGTGGATCGAGGACCGATAGAAACTGTAGAGAGGATAGTTTTGTCCCTCTCCACCCTCATCGCGTCTCCCGACCGAGGTGTTGAAGCTGTATACTCAGAATACATGTCTCTCACCATAGGTCGTATGTTTTGCTTCCCTTTTGAAGTTGTGGTGCTGCTTCTTGCTAGAGAGTGGGTTGCAGTACTTCCTGGTGAGCTAGTCTCGAAGATACCAGAGTCTGAGTATCCGCTGTGGGTAGATCCAAACCGAAGAGAGGAAGTACCGTGGCGTCGATGTCCACCACTACCGGTAGCGGTCGGACTTTCCATTAGAAGTTTGTCCAAATCTGAGTCGCCCTCCTCCTCTTCAGGTTTGCTGCTACTGGCGGTCGTTGTAGGCGTGATGGTGGACATCTTCTTCTCCTCTCGCTTTCGGCGATCTAGAGAAGAAGATGCTTGTAACGACTCAATGTCAGATATGCCCTTCGTATCGAAAGTGTGTGGTAGAATTGCTGAAGTTGGTGGTATCACTACTGTGGTAGCGGTAGTTTTTGTCCCAGTACTAAAAATTGGTGAGGACGGTGGCGTACTGTCGTGGGGATTTTGCTGCATCTTGGGCTTGCCTCTTTAGAAAAATTGCATTTATATTCACTGAACGAAGTAGAAGAAAAGGAAGGGCGCACTCGCAGAAGTACACACAAGGGGAAATATCGTGTGTTTGCGGGTGTATGTCTTTAAGAGAGAGGCGCGGCTTCAATGCATGCACGCGTTAGCGTCGTGCTAACACCTTTACGAATGAAACTTGGAGTTCAGCTACGGAAACGGGGGCTATATGAAAGGCTCGCGTGGGCGTTCCCTGACACGCACGCAAGCACACACACCCGTACGCACGTACGCACGTGCAGTATGTCCGAATTTCAATTCGTCAACTCGAGGTCGCAGTACCGGTCAACGTACCACGAAAACGTAGTTCTGAATCAGATTGCTGAAATTTCGTTGTGCTGCGTGGTAAATGCATGGCCGTCAGATGAGCTGAAGTAAAGTGATTGGTCCAGGCAAAACCAATCGGACGTTAGAGGTTGGGGTTTGTTGCAGCCTTTGGGAGATGTATACGCACGTACACACACACGCACACGTATGTCTGGATTCGTGGTTCTGAACTTTGGTGAGGCTGACAGGCAGAATGCGCTACCTTTGCGATCGCCAGCCTTTGTTGCACATCTTGTCTCGGACCACATTGGATCGGCCACGTGCTTACATATGCACAGTCATGTGCTTCTGCACTCAGGCGACAAATGAACACTCATTTATTCTTAAAACTCCATTTTCGATTATTTCGTTCGCACAATATCTGTGATTTTTCCCCCCTGTCTTCCCGCCAAGTAGACTTTGGATCTGTGTATGCATGTATTTTCTTCGAGCAAACCAGTGAATGCTTAATAGAATTCCTATCATTGCAACTTTTTGCAATTCCCGCTTGTCTACTGACAGCATTTTGACAGGGTCCGCAGGAGGATCTACGAGACTTAGTTTTAACCAGTTAGATTTATTTAAAGACTTTTTATTGATGCATTACTGAGGCAGCTTCTTAAAATTTAGGTGCATCAAATTCCTTTAAACTGCTTTGATAAGTACTTTTCAAGTGTGAACATGTTTGGCGCCAATGAACGAAATGTCGAGGACACTCGAATGATTTGGGCGGTGTCTGCTTGCAGTCAAGGGGCGCATAGAGTGGCTTTTTACAACTACAAATGATCATGCTGATGAGAGGGTGCGAATCCATTGGGCTGACAAAATAAATACCCTCTACAACCGAGTTGGTTTCGAAGCCTCGAAATGCATACCGAAGGATGCCCAAGTCTGATTCAAGAAAGTTTCTCGCATAAACCTATCCACTGGTAAATTCTTGGGAAAAGAAACGATAAAACACTAAATGCTGCCATGAATGCAGGCGCAAAATCTTTATATCCATAGTCGGTGAATGCATGATCGAGGATCTTAAAGCAAATTATAATCACTTAAGAAAAGTGAAGTTACGCACTAAATAGGACGCAAAATAAATAGGAAAAAGTGATCATTTGTTTCAGATATAAAGCCTCGTCTTTTGTCTGTAAGGGCTTATATGAGATGGTTCGGAATGTAGGCGGATCGAGTGCGTAAAGACTGCTTCCAAGTTGTTGACACAAAAGCAAACTTGCACTCCAAAGTTAACAGCCTTACGACGACGCAGGAACTTGAATGCACAAAAACGAACCCCGCTGAAGAGGCGATACAGCATTGGTCACGTGCGGTGTGGTGCATCACGCACTTCTTGTCAGTCAATTCTGTTTTCTTTCTCACATTCGTTTTTGTTTAGTCTCCACGCAACGCAAATATAAGTGAAATGTTCTTGTCGGCTCTTTGCTAAACTGTGACTTTGTGGGGGAGAATTATATTTGTAAAAACAATTACTAGAATTCTCATACGGATGCTTATAAAGATCAAAACATATTTGAAAGTGTGATTTTGGTAACAACATTTACCAAATAGGTTGGCCTATCTCTTAAGGAGCAGCTTCTACATAATAAAGGAAGACTATTAAAGGAATTGCACATCTCGAACCTCATCTACAATCATGCAAAAACGAGTCCACCCCAAACTTTGATGAAGTCTTAAGCGTGACTAGAGATTCTGATCTGTTTAAAGCATATCAGTGCATCATTTTTGAGTCAACTTCCTTACATTTGCTTAAAAGATCACAATTCGCCAAACTTGATTTTCCAAATGCATAGCTAAACTTTAATTCTGTAGTTAACGCACTCTTTTGCATGTTATTTATAGACTTGAGAGTCGCGTGGCTTGAATGCAGTGGAACATAAGACGCATCCCCAACCACCGATGAACGACCGTAAAGAACATCTTGATCAAAGAAGTACTTGTTTCTGAACCCAACTATATAAGCTATCATTAATACCATTACCTTCGCTTTGTGCTGTGGTGGAGGATGAGATCTATTACACCATTGCAATGGTTGAGCCAACTGCGTAAATCCCGTTGTAGGTGCCATGCATAATACTGGTGACGCCAGTACTTGTCACGCTACGCCTATGCTCCTGAATATGCGCTGTGGTGTTTCGCATCCACCTTCCAACTCATTTGTGCGTGTCTGTACCAGCTCTAAATGAATTGTCTACGCCTAAGATCTTAGCAACACTCGACACACTGGTCATAGTGAAGTCGGTCTCGCTTAGTAACTGATTCTCACACGTCTCGACGCCATGCTCAAGGTTAAGCAATTGATAAACCCGCTCATAAACAGTTGGCTCGATAGAAGGTCACTACACTAGAAGTGTAACTCCCAGTTGTCTGCAAAGAGGAACCGATAAGAAGTAGATTTTTATTGCGACAATAATTTCAAAGCCTAATTTGGCAACACAAACTAGCTCGCTTTGATTTGTTTTTGCATAGCATGGAATTAAGAAAAATAGATTGTATCATTCTGAAATGAGAAAAATAGGGTCCATATGATAGTAAGTCTTGTACTTGCCACTTACTTTTATCATTAAATCTCTATATTTTCATTTACGCCATTTGATAAAAAAAGAGCTCCTTTTGATTTTTGATAAGACAATTTATGGGGCTTTAAAATTTAAAATCCCTTATAGAGACGCTGCTTTGATCACATCGTAAATTGTTTTCTGGTGGTTCAGCATTAAGACGGACGTCCATTTTGATACTCTAAATGTGTGCGATCCGAGTGACCTTAAGGTCAGTAGGCTAAGTTGACCAACTCCTTGTGACCCTGATTTTCTGTGCAAGCGTCAACCAAACTTTCCCTTTTATGCGCTTAGGTTGAACTGCAACCGATTTCATAAACCCTTAGTTATGTATTTGTTGCTAAGGTGCTATCACGGTGTTAGATGCAATGCCACAATAGAGTATTGATTGAATTTCTGATTGCCAAGGTGAGATCACGGTTACCGCCAGTTGACATTAGAGCGCATTCTGATTGGTCAACAGATGTGTGTGCTGTTTATGGCTCATTGACGTGCAGGCAGCCTAAAGAGTGTGCTGCATTGACGATTGGGGTCCTGTGATGCCATTATTTAAAAGAGTAACATCAAACTGGGGACGTTAATGCTACCCTTGTTTGCAGATTAATCCAAGACTTCGACAACGAATACTCATTGTAGGCCTAACCAAATGACGGCACTAGCAACGATAATAACGTCGCATGAATTTGTAAAATTCGTTGATTGCCAGTCACTTTCGTCAACGCCTGCAGTTATATGGAAAGATGCCCTATCAAGTCACTTCCTATGAGACCTCACTCAAAATAAAAATAAAATTAGCTGAGCATTGTCATGCTGTCCAATCCTTCAATTCTTCGTAATGGACAGTGATTACATTTTCCTCTCTGCGTAAACAATATGCTTTCTACCAAAAGGCTTTCCCTTCTTTCGCCTTTCAGAAAGGCTCCTAGCGGTACTCCCTTCCTCGTTATTCGAATCCATCATGAATGGAAGAATGCACTGAGGCAAGGTGATATTGCACCTATCGAAACCTTTAGAGAAACTAATGTCGTAAACTAGAGGACCAGAACTTAGTCATGTGGATGATCCGGGCTGGTCGAATTGAAGTTGTGAAAAGTACGGTTATGATCGACCCTAGCCGAGTCACAGGCGCCTAACATTAGCTTCTAAGACCGAGTCTTGGACAGTTGGTGAATCATTATTGCGTGTCAGTCTATCAAATCGAATCGTTTTACATTCCCTTAATTGAATCACCTTAACGGAGTTGTGTCTGAATGGGAGGATTGGAAAGCGGAAGCAGATTGTCAAAAGAATTTAGCAATTAATAGAGGTACTGCTTCCACATGCATCTACTACCACCCGGCCGCTTTCTCCTTAAAGTCAGAGCATCCTTAATTTAACGCATGGGCATACTTATTTTGTTCTCCGAGGACCGACTTCAGTCCCCTAGTAAGAAAGAGGGAAGGGTCACTTATCCTCTTCCTTTTGGTCCGAGCTGCATGCGAAGTATGTGCATATAACCAGCCAAAACAGCAATTTCATTTCATTTGGGACTGCCTTTCGGTTTCTCTGTAAACGATTTACAAAATGTTCAGTGTCTCGAAGTTGTGATAATTAGAGGGAACTCAAAAGATACCGTCTACAAAAATCAACCTTTCTACCTTTGAGTCTTTCGAGTTGATGAACAAGCCGAACTTAGACAATGCCTTTAAGTACAAAATATTCACCCTCGTTTCTTCTCAAATATCGTAATGCTGCCCGATTTTGCACCTCTACCGATACACCTTTCAAGCCTGAGTTGCTTATGCATGGCTCTGTTTATAAATTCATCCTTTCTTGGAGGAAATAATGGAGAATAGATATTTATGGAAAATTTGATGAGCCAACAAAATTGCACTTTTGTGGTAGCGCAAACATATTTTCGGTATGCACGTGTGCATGTGTTTGTATTGCCAGTGTTGGTCAATGCGCGCCCACCGAAACGCACATACGCACACTTCCATACACACATTTTCTAAATGCGTGTACTTTGTGATCGTTCCCTTTGATCGCAAGTAAAAATCCCATGAAACTTAACGTTCTATTCGCGTGCATCTCAGA